CCAATAGCCTGTGAGGAGGGCGTCCATAGACACCTCACAAGACCCCACACACGGTCTCGTCCATGCCTTGCGGCTGGCGACGAGATTGCTAGAGGCGGAGCAAGCCTGCTCTAGTCTCACACGTTCGCCCCTGTCGCCTGTCTGTGTTGTTGTGCTGTTGTTTGTCTCTTGGCACCTTGGAGTGCTGGGGGGGGCGACAGGGGGGACGTGGCCTGAGTGATGTGTACGCCCACTCAGGATGTGTGGCAGCCCGCTGGCTGTGTGTCTTGTGAGCTTGTTTGTGTCTGTGTGTCGCTCGTGCGTGTCGTCATCATCTGTCTAGCGTCCACCCATACCGCGTCGGTGTCCAGTCCGAGCCTGACTGTTCTTCACCTTCCTACATACATACATACCCATGTGGACTCGCCGGGGCTCTGCTCCAAGAGACCTCGAGAGAGCGTGCGTGTGCCTCTACTCGCCAGCCCCGCGAGGTTCACAGCCTTGTTATGAGAAGAAAATACGTCCTATGAATGGCGCTATGCGCTGGTCTGTGAGAGGTTGAGGTGCGAGCCCTGGAGCGTGAGGCCCTGGGGATGGGGGGAGACTACCCGCGGGCCTAGAAGGCCCGCGCGCAGGGGGGTGGGGCATTGAGACCGGTCATGAATGAGTGCGCGACACGCATGTTGCGAGCAGCGTTGTTTGTTGATGTTCTGCGCGTCCCACAGACGGCGGCGCGCGAGAGCTGTTGCGATTCACAGCGGAGTCGGCTGGGGCTACAGTATACCAGACAGACCAGGAGAGGCACTTGAGAGCTTCAAAAGAATTCAGATGAATGGGCCATCCCTCGCTTGAGCTGTTTTCCAGCCCCCCTCCGTGTCGCGATGCCGCTCCCCGCTCCCGTCCCCTGTGTCCCTGATCGTCCTTACAAGATCCTGCTCGTGCAGGTGGGGACCCTGTCCTTCTCCCACCCCTCGTTTGGTGTGTCCGTTTTATTTATTTTATACTCGACCCAGCTCCGAGCACGCTCGCTCGCCGCTGGGCGGCGCGCGTCCACGCTGCGTCGGCAAAACGCGACACAGGAGCTCGCTCGCTGCTGCGGCGGCGGCGGCAGCGACGCCGACTGCCGGCAGCCGGCTCCCGTCCGCCGGCATCAAAATAAAGAAAGAATGTGAATGTGACAGGACCATCGGGTCCTTCAGCCTCCAAAGCGGGATCACCCGAGAGCAGCTGAGCCTGCCTCTGGCCTCGCCTCCCTCTCCTTCAGGCATTCGTGGCATCCTATGGGTCGTCCAGAGTATCGACCTCTGGCTTGTCAGCCGGTCACTTGATGACGACCATGAAGTACAGCGATCGCCACCTCGCTGGCCTCTCCGCAAGGCCTCCCGACCGCGTCGAACTCACGGCGCGGGCTCTCTCGGCTACGGGACCGGCCCCAGCTTCGGCTGAGGGCTAACAAGCTGCCGAGCCCAAATCACTGTGAGAGTCGTGATTTCTTGTTGGTTAATAAAAATCTCTCTCTCAAAATAAAAGAATTCAACCCTGCGGGCGCGCTCCCGCCGATATGCCAGAGACAGTGTGTGGCACGTCGCCTGCCGACGCGCCGCTGCTTGGGGGGGGGGGGTTGTTTGTTTTCTTTCTTTCTTTCTTTAAAAAGGAACAGGTCCCCGCCCGTGCGATCTTTGTGCAGGCTTCTTTGTGGGTGTGGTCGGGCCCAAGATCTAAGAAAAATCCACACTCATTCTCGTCCGCTACCCACCGGTGCAATGAATTCTGCCCAGAGCGGTGGTTGAGGCCGATTGCCTCAACTGTCAACCACGTGGTTGACAGAGGCCTCAACCCTCAACCAAGTGGTTGACAGACCCCTTCAACCCCTCAACCACGCGGAATGGCTGTCCACACACACAAAAACCAAACAACTCTAAAACACACACCCGCGCAAAGCCAAAGGTCTGAACACATTCTCTGTGAACCATTCATGTCGTCTTCTTTAGACGCCTGGATGCTGCATTTGACGCGCCGTTTTTACGAGTACTTGCTTCAGCAACGTGCGTGAATGGGAGGTGTGATGCAAAGCCCGGAGGAGCGCTGACAGCCTCTCTGGAAGGCCCCCGCGCGGGGGGGGGGGGGGGGGGTCCCGGCCGACCTTACGGGACCCCTAGGCTTAAAAGGGTGGGCCACCCTGCTTGCAACAACGCAAGATGAGACCGGAGCGCCAAACCTCTCAATGGGAGGGAAAGAGGCGCGGGTGGATGGTCGAAGTACTCAAAAAAGTGGCATGAACGGCGTCAAGATGCAAAAATGCAAAATGCCCGGCTGAGCGTTGTCCGATCCAATGAGCAAAGACGCGTGGTTTGAGACCCTTCTCTCAGATCTCGCCGCGGACGACGTTCCGAGCGACATTCCCGACACGCCGCCGGTCCCGCCAGCCGCCCCTTCGCAGGGCGAGGAGAAGCCGAATGGGATTGCTGTGCCCGAAGAGGCACTCGCCGCACAAGTGGTGGAGGGCGAGGCGGCGGGCGAGGCGGCGGAGGCCCTCGCGCACCTCAAGCTCTCGGAGCTGCGGCAGCGGCTCGCAGCGGCGGGGGTGGACGGGACGGCCGTCGACGAGGCGCTCGACGAGGCTGCTGAGACGGGCTCCAACCCGAAGCAGGCGCTCGTCGCTTTGCTGCAGAAGAGCGTCTGGCTCTCAAACTCAACTCTCCGGTTGAACGCGTTGGAAAACGCGGCGGGGTCCTTACTCAACTCTCCGGTTGCTCTCCGGTTGCTCGCGTTGCAAAACGCGGCGGGGTCCTCCCGGGCGGCCTTCCGGCCGCAGCGGCTTCGCGACCAGCAGGATGCCAGGCGCGGCGGACACACGGTTAAGGCCGCGCTCTGCTGCTCTCTCCCAGCCGCGTGCACACTGGCGGCCGTCGGGATGGCTCTTGGCGCGCTGCTGCTTCGATACGCGGCGACCGGTGCAGTCATCGATCTCGGCGCCATCGCGGGCAATGTCACAAACGCCGGGCTTGACTTCCTCTTTGATCCTCCCCTGCCACCGCCGCCACACCCGCCGCCGTCGCCGCACCCGCCGCCGTCGCCGCGTCCACCGGCGCCGCCGCCGCCGCTGCCGTCGCCGCCGCCGGCACCCCCGCCCCAACCGTTAACCCCGCCGCGGCCACCTCCGTCGTCGCCGCCGCTGCTGCCGCCGCTGCCGTCGCCGCCGCCTCCGCCGCGGCCGCCTCCAACATCACCTCCACCGCTGCCGCCTTCAGCGCCTCCGCTTTCGCCGCCGCCGGTGCCGCTCGTCAACCACTTCCTGTGCGAGCCCAGTTGCGTGAAGGGCAGGTGTTCGACCTCACCAGCGCCAATGTGTACGAGCGGCAATTGCTACTCCATCACGACCGCGACCGACAATATCAACCAGTGCAACACCGACGCGAGCCTGCTCAACAGCGCCATCGCAGCGCAAGGCACCACTGTCGACTTCCGCTGCTTTACGAGCACGCGCTATACGAGCGGCCGCGACTTCCTCATGCCTGCCGCGGACAACACCAACTTCCTCATGCCTGCCGCGTACAACACCAACGCCGCTTCTCGCTGCAACAGCGAGGTGAGCGCGCTCAACGCGGCGATCATGGCGGCAACTGGGGTCCGGACCACTTTTGGATGCTACCGCAACGACTGGCTGACCAGCGGGTACCTCCAGTACTGGGGGCACACGGCATGCACGGCGGGCGGCACTCAGGAGAGCAACGCTGACATCGTGGCCCTGAACCAGTACCTCAGCAATCTGAACACGCCTCCTCCACCACCGCCACCACCGTCGGCTGCGCCGAACGTTCTGCTACCGTAGATGCGAGCGATGTCGGCGGGGTCGCAGTGAGAGAGGGCACGCACGAGGAGCTCCGTGGGGAGGTCGAGGAGGCGGGCGGGCGGCGGCGTGTCTGGCGAGGGAGCGGCGGCGGAGGCGGAGGCGAGGCGGCGCGGCACGGCTGACATCCACAAAAGATTTTTTTTAGCAGCGCGACACGAGAAAAGAATTCATAGAGCTATCTGGCCACCCTGGGCTGGACCTTGTCTGGAACAGATGAATCCAGACGCAATCATCGAAGAGCACTAAGATAGAGCACACGGGGACGACACTGGTCACTGCTTCGGCAGCGTGCACCTCGATCCTGTACCGTGTTTCGATAATCCGTGTTTGTTATGACCCCACCCCCCCATGAACACACCAGTGAGGGAGGGCGAGACGATCGAGGGGTCCCGTACCATGCGGAATCGACCCTATCCAGTGCTCAAGTGCTCAAGAGAGCACACACACCGGCCGGGCGGGGTCCCTCAGCGGCGTGCACCTCGATCCTGTACCGTGTTTGTGATGACCCCTCCCTATGAACACACCAGGAGGGCGAGACGATCGAGGGGTCCCGTCCATGCGGAATCGACCCTGTCCCAGTGCAATAGTGCAATAGTCGAGCGCGTCCTAGAGGTACCCTTCAGAGTGTTTCGACACGTCTGCAAACGCCTCTCCCCTTCCGCGGAATTTGGCTGTCCACTCACACACAAAAACCAAACACACACCCGCGCAAAGCCAAAGGTCTGAACACATTCTCTGTGAACCATTCATGTCGTCTTCTTTAGACGCCTGGATGCTGCATTTGACGCGCCGTTTTTACGAGTACTTGCTTCAGCAACGTGCGACGACGTGCGTGAATGGGAGGTGTGATGCAAAGCCCGGAGGAGCGCTGACAGCCATCGAAGGCCCCCGCGCGGGGGGGGGGGAGGGGTCCCGGCCGACCTTACGGGACCCCTAGGCTTAAAAGGGTGGGCCCTGCTTGCAACAACGCAAGATGAGACCGGAGCGCCAAACCTCTCAATGGGAGGGAAAGAGGCGCGGGCGGATGGTCGAAGTGAGTGAGTATTCTTGATACGAAACCACGACGACACACACCAGTCGACTCGCATCGGTTGCCTCCATGAACGGCGGAGCTATTCTCGCGCCCACACCACACCTGGCTCCAACGTGAACACAACACAAAACTCTCCTCTCTCTCCCAACGTGGACACGCCCATAGCTGGGGACACTACTAGGTCACGCATGGCATCACAGAAGTTTTGTCTCTGGGCCCCGAAAGGCATCTCTAGCAGTGTCGTTACGCATGCCCCCTCCCCTCACACACACACACACACACACACGGATGGTCGAAGTATACTCAAAAAAGTGGCATGAACGGCGTCAAGATGCAAAAATGCAAAATGCCCGGCTGAGCGTTGTCCGATCCAATGAGCAAAGACGCGTGGTTTGAGACCCTTCTCTCAAGTCTCGCCGCGGACGACGTTCCGAGCGACATTCCCGACACGCCGCCGGTCCCGCCAGCCGCCCCTTCGCAGGGCGAGGAGAAGCCGAATGGGATTGCTGTGCCCGAAGAGGCACTCGCTGCACCAGTGGTGGAGGGCGAGGCGGCGGGCGAGGCGGCGGAGGCCCTCGCGCACCTCAAGCTCTCGGAGCTGCGGCAGCGGCTCGCAGCGGCGGGGGTGGACGGGACGGCCGTCGACGAGGCGCTCGACGAGGCTGCTGAGACGGGCTCCAACCCGAAGCAGGCGCTCGTCGCTTTGCTGCAGAAGAGCGTCTGGCTCTCAAACTCAACTCTCCGGTTGAACGCGTTGGAAAACGCGGCGGGGTCCTTACTCAACTCTCCGGTTGCTCTCCGGTTGCTCGCGTTGCAAAACGCGGCGGGGTCCTCCCGGGCGCGGCCTTCGATCGCCTTCCGGCCGCAGCGGCTTCGCGACCCGCAGGATGCCAGGCGCGGCGGCCGCACGGTTAAGGCCGCGCTCTGCTGCTCTCTCCCAGCCGCGTGCACACTGGCGGCCGTCGGGATGGCTCTTGGCGCGCTGCTGCTTCGATACGCGGCGACCGGTGCAGTCATCGATCTCGGCGCCATCGCGGGCAATGTCACAAACGCCGGGCTTGACTTCCTCTTTGATCCTCCCCTGCCACCGCCGCCACACCCGCCGCCGTCGCCGCGTCCACCGGCGCCGCCGCCGCCGCTGCCGTCGCCGCCGCCGGCACCCCCGCCCCAACCGTTAACCCCGCCGCGGCCACCTCCGTCGTCGCCGCCGCTGCTGCCGCCGCCGCCGTCGCCGCCGCCTCCGCCGCGGCCGCCTCCAACATCACCTCCACCGCTGCCGCCTTCAGCGCCTCCGCTTTCGCCGCCGCCGGTGCCGCTCGTCAACCACTTCCTGTGCGAGCCCAGTTGCGGCAATTGCCACTCCATCACGACCGCGACCGACAATATCAACCAGTGCAACACCGACGCGAGCCTGCTCAACAGCGCCATCGCAGCGCAAGGCACCACTGTCGACTTCCGCTGCTTTACGAGCACGCGCTATACGAGCGGCCGCGACTTCCTCATGCCTGCCGCGGACAACACCAACTTCCTCATGCCTGCCGCGTACAACACCAACGCCGCTTCTCGCTGCAACAGCGAGGTGAGCGCGCTCAACGCGGCGATCATGGCGGCAACTGGGGTCCGGACCACTTTTGGATGCTACCGCAACGACTGGCTGACCAACGGGTACCTCCCTCGCCGGCGTGGATTCGAAGAGCAGTACTGGGGGCACACGGCATGCACGGCGGGTGGCACTCAGGAGAGCAACGCTGACATCGTGGCCCTGAACCAGTACCTCAGCAATCTGAACACGCCTCCTCCACCACCGCCACCACCGTCGGCTGCGCCGAACGTTCTGCTACCGTAGATGCGAGCGATGTCGGCGGGGTCGCAGTGAGAGAGGGCACGCACGAGGAGCTCCGTGGGGAGGTCGAGGAGGCGGGCGGGCGGCGGCGTGTCTGGCGAGGGAGCGGCGGCGGAGGCGGAGGCGAGGCGGCGCGGCACACGGCTGACATCCACAAAAGATTTTTTTAGCAGCGCGACACGAGAACAGAATTCATAGGCATACCTGGCCACCCTGGGCTGGACCTAGTCTGGAACAGAATCCAGACGCAATCATCGAAGAGCACTAAGAGAGCACACGGGGACGACACTGCTTCGGCAGCGTGCACCTAACCCTAACAACCCTATATAGTCCCTACACTTTACCCTAGTCCCTACCTGACCCTAAAACCCTAACCCAAAGAAAAATAATCGCGCGCTAACGACTCGACCCAGCTCCGAGCACGCTCGCTCGCCGCTGCGCGGCGCGCGTTCACGCTGCGTCGGCAAAACGCGACACAGGAGCTCGCTCGCTGCTGTGGCGGCGGCGGAAGCGACGCCGACCGCCGGCAGCCGGCTCCCGATTTCAAAATAAAAGAATTCAAGGCCGCGGGCGCGCTCCCGCCGATATGCCAGAGACAGTGTGTGGCACGTCGCCTGCCGACGCGCCGCTGCTTGGGCAGCGAGTCGAGATTAGCGGGCTCTCTGCCCGCCCCGAGCTGAACGGGCGGCGGGGCGAGGCGCGGAGCTTCGAGGGCGGCCGCTACGCTGTGGCGCTCGAGGGAAGCGGCGAGAGCGTGCAGGTGCGGCCGGAGAGATTGCGGCCAGTGGCGGCGGCGGAGCAGGCGTCGAGCGGTGTCTCGGAAGCCCCCGATGCGGTTGTGAAAGCAGCTGCGCGAGGCGAGGAGGAGGCAGTGCTGGCGTGGCTCGAGGGCGGCGGGCGGGTCAACGCGACGCACGAGAGAGGTGATGCGAGCGGCCTCACGCTGCTGATGAAAGCCGCCTTCCACGGCCACGAGCGGGTGGTCGAGCTGCTGCTGCAGCACGGCGCGGAGCTCAACCTGCAGAGGAGCGACGGCTGGACCGCGCTGATCGCCGCCGCCGGCAACGGCCACGAGCGAGTGGTCGACTTGCTGATACGGCGCGGTGCTGAGGTCAACCTGCAGGACAGCGACGGCGTCACCGCGCTGATGCTCGCCGCCTACTTCAACCACCCCGCCGTCGTGCGGTGCTTGCTACGGGCGGGCGCAGACACGGCGGTGCGCAGTGAGAGCGGCACGACGGCGCTGCATTGGGCCAAGGAGAAGGGCCACGCCGAGTGCGTCGAGGCCTTCCGGCAGCACGTCAAGGAGTCGGTGGTGGCGGGACGGCCCATTGCGGCGGCAGCCGGCGGCGCAGGCGCAGGCGGCGCTTCCTCCGGCGGCGCTCCCTCGGCTGGATCGAGAGTCGCGAAGACGCTATCTCCAGTGGCGGCGGCGGAGCAGGCGTCGAGCGGTGTCGTGGCAGCCCCCGACGCGGTCGTGGCAGCGGCGGAACGTGGCGAGGAGGAGGCGGTGCTGGCGTGGCTCGACGGCGGCGGGCGGGTCAACGCGACATACGACAGAGGCAAGGTGAGCGGCCTCACGCTGCTGATGGGCGCCGCCTTCCACGGCCACGAGCGGCTGGTCGAGCTGTTGCTGCAGCGCGGCGCGGAGATCAACCTGCAGAGCAGCGACGGCGGCACCGCGCTGATGGGCGCCGCCCTCCAGGGCCACGAGCGGGTGGTCGAGCTGCTGCTGCGGCACGGGGCAAAGGCTAACTTGCAGAACAGCGAGGGTGGCACCGCGCTTATTGACGCCGCCTTCAAAGGCCACGAGCGGGTGGTCGAATTGCTGATATGGCGCGGTGCTGAGGTCAACCTGCAGGACAGCAGCGGCGTCACCGCGCTGATGAACGCCGCCTTCTTCAACCACCCCGCCGTCGTGCGGTGCTTGCTGCGGGCGGGCGCAGACACGGCGGCGCGCGGTGAGAGCGGCAAGACGGCGCTGCATTGGGCCAAGGAGAGGGGCCACGCCGAGTGCGTCGAGGCCTTCCGGCAGCACGTCAAGGAGTCGGTGGTGGCGGGACGGCCCACTGCGGCGGCAGCCGGCGGCGCAGGCGCAGGCGGCGCTTCCTCCGGCGGCGCTTCCTCGGCTGGACCGAGAGTCGCAAAGACGCTGTCTCCAGCGGTGGCGGCGGAGCGAGCGTCGAGCGGTGTCGCGACAGCCCCCGATGCGGTTGTGAAAGCAGCTGCGCGAGGCGAGGAGGAGGCAGTGCTGGCGTGGCTCGAGGGCGGCGGGCGGGTCAACGCGACGCACGAGAGAGGTGATGCGAGCGGCCTCACGCTGCTGATGAAAGCCGCCTTCCACGGCCACGAGCGGGTGGTCGAGCTGCTGCTGCAGCACGGCGCGGAGCTCAACCTGCAGAGGAGCGACGGCTGGACCGCGCTGATCGCCGCCGCCGGCAACGGCCACGAGCGAGTGGTCGACTTGCTGATACGGCGCGGTGCTGAGGTCAACCTGCAGGACAGCGACGGCGTCACCGCGCTGATGCTCGCCGCCTACTTCAACCACCCCGCCGTCGTGCGGTGCTTGCTACGGGCGGGCGCAGACACGGCGGTGCGCAGTGAGAGCGGCACGACGGCGCTGCATTGGGCCAAGGAGAAGGGCCACGCCGAGTGCGTCGAGGCCTTCCGGCAGCACGTCAAGGAGTCGGTGGTGGCGGGACGGCCCATTGCGGCGGCAGCCGGCGGCGCAGGCGCAGGCGGCGCTTCCTCCGGCGGCGCTCCCTCGGCTGGATCGAGAGTCGCGAAGACGCTATCTCCAGTGGCGGCGGCGGAGCAGGCGTCGAGCGGTGTCGTGGCAGCCCCCGACGCGGTCGTGGCAGCGGCGGAACGTGGCGAGGAGGAGGCGGTGCTGGCGTGGCTCGACGGCGGCGGGCGGGTCAACGCGACATACGACAGAGGCAAGGTGAGCGGCCTCACGCTGCTGATGGGCGCCGCCTTCCACGGCCACGAGCGGCTGGTCGAGCTGTTGCTGCAGCGCGGCGCGGAGATCAACCTGCAGAGCAGCGACGGCGGCACCGCGCTGATGGGCGCCGCCCTCCAGGGCCACGAGCGGGTGGTCGAGCTGCTGCTGCGGCACGGGGCAAAGGCTAACTTGCAGAACAGCGAGGGTGGCACCGCGCTTATTGACGCCGCCTTCAAAGGCCACGAGCGGGTGGTCGAATTGCTGATATGGCGCGGTGCTGAGGTCAACCTGCAGGACAGCAGCGGCGTCACCGCGCTGATGAACGCCGCCTTCTTCAACCACCCCGCCGTCGTGCGGTGCTTGCTGCGGGCGGGCGCAGACACGGCGGCGCGCGGTGAGAGCGGCAAGACGGCGCTGCATTGGGCCAAGGAGAGGGGCCACGCCGAGTGCGTCGAGGCCTTCCGGCAGCACGTCAAGGAGTCGGTGGTGGCGGGACGGCCCACTGCGGCGGCAGCCGGCGGCGCAGGCGCAGGCGGCGCTTCCTCCGGCGGCGCTTCCTCGGCTGGACCGAGAGTCGCAAAGACGCTGTCTCCAGCGGTGGCGGCGGAGCGAGCGTCGAGCGGTGTCGCGACAGCCCCCGATGCGGTTGTGAAAGCAGCTGCGCGAGGCGAGGAGGAGGCTGTGCTGGCGTGGCTTGACAGCGGCGGGCGGGCCGACGCGACGTACGAGAAGGGCGAGGTGAGCGGCCTCACCCTGCTGATGAAAGCCGCCCGCCACGGCCACGAGCGGCTAGTCGACATGCTGCTGCAGCACGGCGCGACCATCAACCTGCAGAACAGCGTCGGCGGCGCCGCGCTGATGCTCGCCGCCTACTACGGCCATGAGCGTGTGGTCGACTTGCTGATACGGCACGGCGCTGATGTCAACCTACAGAACAGCAACGGCGACACCGCGCTGCTGTACGCCTCCAGCAACGGCCACGAGCGGGTGGTCGACTTGCTCCTGCAGCACGGCGCGGAGATCAACCTGCAGAGCAGCGACGGCTGGATTGCGCTGATGCTCGCCGCCAACAACGGCCACGAGCGGGTGGTCGACTTGCTGATACGGCGCGGCGCGGAGATCAACATGCAGGACAGCTACGGCCGCACCGCGCTGATGTGCGCCGCCGTCTTTGACCGCCCCGCCGTCGTGCGGCGCTTGCTGCAGGCGGGCGCAGATGCGGCGGCGCGCAGTGCGAGCGGCAAGACGGCGCTGCAGTGGGCCAAGGAGAAGGGCCACGCCGAGTGCGTGCGCGCCCTCGAGGAGCACTCGTCGACCGCAGCAGAGGCTGAGGGGGAGACGGTGGTCGCACAATCAGCCGAACAGGCCGCGGCGGCCGCACGCGAGGCGGCAGCGGCAGCGGAGGCGGCGAAGGCGCGCGATGCTGCCGAGGCTGCGCTGCGCGAGGCGGTTGAGGCGTGCGGCCGAGGCGACGCCGATCTCGAGGCGCTCAGGGCGGCGATCAACGCGAACGTCGACGCCGCCAACGGCTCGGAGGCGCTGCGGGCGGCGCGGCTGCTGCGCGATGATCTGGCCAAGCCGCTGAAGCGGCAGCGGCAGAAGGAGGAGAAGGCGGCGGCGAGGCAGGCAGAGGCGGCGGCGCGGGCGGCGGACGAGGCGCGGGCGGCGGAGGAGGCGCGGGCGGCGCGGGCATCGGAGGAGGCGGAGGCGGCGGCGCGGGCGGCGGAGGAGGCGGAGGCGGCATCGCGGGCAAGGGAGGAGGCGGAGGCGAGGGCGAGGGAGGAGGCGGCAAGGGAGAGGGAGGAGGCGAGGATGAGGGCGGAAGCGGAGGCAGCGGCGGCGGCGGAGGCGGCGGCGGAGGCGGCGGCGGAGGCGGCGGCGGAGGCGGCGGCGGAGGCGGCGGCGGAGGCGGCGGCTGTAGAGGCGGCGGTGGCGGCCGTGGCGGCGGCGGAGGCTCAAGAGGCGGCGGCAGCGGAGGCGACGGCAGCAGCGGCGGCAGCGTCGGCGGCGGCGAGTGTCGCCGCCCTCGCCGCCGCCGCCGCGCCGCCCGTCGCCGTCCCTCTCGACGAGCTGATTACGGCGACGGACGGCTTTGCCGAGGCGCGCAAGGTGGGCGAGGGAGGCTTCGGGCGCGTCTACCGCTGCGACGCGCTGCCGTCTCTCCCGCGCGTCGCTTGCGGGTTCGCCGTCAAGACGGCGCTGGTCGGTGTCGGCGCCCAAGGCCTCGCCGAGCTGCAGAGCGAGGTGCGCACGCTCAGTGCGGCGTGCCACCAGTCTCTACTCCCTCTCCTCGGCGTCTGTTTGGCGCCGGCGAGAGCGTGCCTCGTCTACCCTCTCTGCCGCGGCGGCAGCCTCGAGGACCGCCTCTACCGCACTCCAGCCGCGCTGCAGCGGCTCCGCATGCTCGGCTTCGAGACGCCGCCTCCGCCGCTCTCCTCCGCCGCACGGCTCCGCGTGCTGCGCGACGCGGCGAGCGCGCTGCATTACTTGCACACGCGCTCTCCGATGATCCTGCACCGCGACGTCTCGGCGGGCAACATCCTGCTCGACGAGCGCGGCAACGGCTACCTCGCCGACGTGGGCCTCGCGCGCGCGGCAGAGGCGACGGCCGGCAGCAGTGGACAGGTGTCGCACCTGTCGACGCAGCGCATCTTTGGCAAGCCCGGCTACATGGACTCGATCATCATGCACGACAACCAAGCTTCGCAGCTCACTGACGGCTTCGCGCTCGGCATCACGCTGCTCGTCAGCCTTACTAGCCGCGGCGCCGTCGGCTTGCTCAACGCGTGCGACGATGCATTGGAGGAGCCCGACACGGCTGAGGGCATCGCGGCGGCCGACGCGGGCTGGTCGGCGGCGCAGGCCGAGGAGCTGACGCGGCTGGTGGTCGGGCTGGCGTACGAGCGGAAGAGGAAGCGGATGCCGCTCGTAGAGGCGCTGCCGCGGCTGGAGGCGCTAGTCGAAGCAGCGGAGGCTGAGATTCCGAGCCTCGCGGGGGCGGCGGCAGCCGAGGCGGACGGGGAGGCGCGCCAGTGCGACTTTTGCTGGTCGGCGCCGCGATCGGTCCGCTTCGCGTGCGGCCACGCATTGTATTGCGAGGCGTGTGCGCCGCGCGTGCTGGAGCGCGACACCAACTGCCCGGCTTGCCGCCAGCCGGCGCTGCCCATCGCCGCGAGCGGGGCGCAGGTGGCGGAGCAGGCGACGTTTGTCTACCAGCCACCCACTCGCGCTGTGCCACACCCGCCGCCCGCTGGTGGCGCGGCGGTGGTCGGCGGGCGGGGCGGGCGGGGCGGGCGAGGCGGGCGAGGCGGGCGGGGCGGGCGGGGCGGGCGGGGGAGGCCGCGGGGCGAGGGGCGGGGCGCCAAGCTGCAGAAACGAGCTTTTAGTGCTTATGAGCATAAGCACTGGATTCTCATGCGCGCGGAGCGCGCCGGTGCTCTACCCGGACACGCGCGGAGCGCGCTAGCTGGACACCGCACGCGCGGAGCGCGCTAGCTAGACACACACGCGCGGAGCGCGCCGCTGCAGAACACGCGCGGAGCGCGCCGCTGCATGGGTAGGCGCGGAGCGCCGCCACTCGAGATTGGCTAGGGCCTGCGTGTGAGTCAAACTCTTAATAGAAATCGCATCTAGCCCTCTACAACCCTCGAAATTTTCTTCGGGGCGCGCTCCGCGCGCGGCGCTCCGCGCCTACTCCTTGAGCGTCATAGGCACTGGTTCGCACATGTTCTGCAGCTTGGGCGGGGCGCTGGCGGCTCGTAGCTCATTACCGTACTGATCGTACGTGCATGTTTTTGCGTTCGTTGTCGGGAAATCGTACACAGCTCGTCGCCCAGCCGGGTCCCCTCCTCAGAAGGCAGATCGCGCCGTCGGCGCCGAGCCCGGGGCGCGCGCGCGCGCCCCCTGGCCCCTTAAATGGGAGCTCGGCCGGAGAAGATTTTTCTTTTTCTTTTACCCCACACTCATCAATAGACTCGTCTCCGTGGCCCAACCGGCCTTTGCTTCCATAGCCGCAGCTTCGGGCGGCACCGTCGGCCAGGACGGTGCTGGGCCGCCGCCTGTGACTCAGCAGCGGAAACTAACACGGCCGTGAACTCATTCCTGCGCCCACACCTCGACCTTCTTGGGCAGCAGCTGGTTCGACAGGTCCTCTCCGTGGCCTAGGCAGCCATTTTCACCCTTGCCGCAGGTAAAGACGGCGCCATCGGCGGTGCTCGCGAGGCTGTGGCAGGCTCCCGCCGACACAGCGACGACGCGCTGCCCAGCGAAGGCCCCGACCTTCTTGGGCAGCGGCTGGCTCTGCTGGTCGCCGTGGCCCAGCTGGCCTGCGGCTCCACCACCCCAGCTCCAGACGGCGCCGTCGGCAGTGAGGGCGAGGCTATGGCTATATCCAGCCGACGCAGCGACGACGCGCTGGTCAGCAAAGGCCTCGATCTTCTTGGGCAGCGGCTGGCTCTGCAGATCGCCGTGGCCCAACCGGCCAAAGGCTCCATTGCCCCAGCTCCACATGGCGCCGTCGGCGGCGAGGGCGAGGCTGTGGCTATATCCAGCCGACACAGCGACGACGCGCCGCCCAGCGAAGGCCTCGACCTTCTTCGGCAGCGGCTGGCTCTGCTGGTCGCCGTTGCCCAGTCGGCCATTGGTTCCACTGCCCCAGCTCCACGCGGCGCCGTCGGCGGTGAGGGCGAGGCTGTGGCTATATCCAGCCGACACAGCGACGACGCGCCGCCCAGCGAAGGCCTCGACCTTCTTCGGCAGCGGCTGGCTCTGCTGGTCGCCGTGGCCTAGCTGGCCGAAACCTCCACTGCCCCAGCTCCACGCGGCGCCGTCGGCGGTGAGGGCGAGGCTGTGGCTATATCCAGCCGACACAGCGACGACGCGCTGGCCAGCAAAGGCCTCGACCTTCTTGGGCAGCAGCAGCCGGTCCTGCGCGTCGCCGTGGCCCAACCGATAGTGTCCACTGCCCCAGCTCCAGACAGCGCCGCTGCCGGTGAGGGCGAGGCTGTGCTCGTCTCCAGCCGCAACGCTCACAGCGCGCTCTCCCAGCGTCGAGGGGAGGCGCGTCGGCGTGTTGAGCCGCGTCACACCCTCGCCGTGGCCAAGGAGGCCTGGACAGAAGGGCGGCGCAGAGCCGCACGACGAGAGCCGCCCCTCTCCGTCGATGAAGACGCTGTGCCGCCAGCCTGCCGCCACCCTCGCCGGCGGGTTGGTCTCGCGCAGCAGCGCCGAGAAGCACAGCCACCGCATGGCGCAGCCCTCGCCCTCTGGCTGCGCCGGCAGCTCGAATTCGCGCTCTTGCGCCCACAAGCGGATGCCCTCCACCGCAAGCGAGGCGTAGAAGAGACGCGAGACGGCCGCGACGCGAGCGATGTCGATGGGGCTGTCGCAGCGAGAGAGGACGCGCTCGAGGAGCTCCCTGGGGAGGTCGAGGAGGCGGACGGGCGGCGGCGTGCTTGGCGAGGGCGCGGCGGTGGAGGCGGAGCGAGGCGGCGGGTTGGACATCGCGAGAAAAAGACTTGAGATGTTACATGTCTTTTTACAAGAAAATTGCGCACCGCCCCCGTGAGCGGGGAGCGTGCGGGCCGGCGCTCCTTTTCATATGAACTGCACCACTCCCGAGTAAGCGACCCACTTTTCCCGTGGTCTCGTGCTTGACACAGAGTCAGACTGCGGCGGGAACACGCAAACTCAGGAAGAGACGCGGCAAGAAGAGCTCGAAAGGAAGGGGATCCGTCAAGGATCGCAAGGATCAACGGTCTGTCATAGCGCGGTCAGATCGCCCCAGGTTTGCGCGCGTAGCTCTCGAAGCCAGGCGAGAAATTCTTGCCGTCTGCGCCACTCTGCTGCGTGTCGTACTGTGTGCGAGAAGAGCCGTCGCTGCGCGGAGACGGGAAAGAGTGGGTCGCTTATTCGTTCGACTGCTTTATTGCCGCGATCAAAACTAGGTACAAGCCACACTCCAGACGACATGTACTCTCCCACCCAGAAGCTGGTCCGACAGGTCCTCTCCTGAGGGAGGGTGTAGAGGATGTAGAGTGTAGAGCGCTGTAGAGCTGTAGAGATGTAGAGCGCTGGAGAGCGCTGTAGAGCTGTAGAGCTCTACATCCGCCGCGGGACGAAGCGCCTCCGTTGTAGAGCGATGTAGAGCGCGATTTTGCTGTAGAGTTTGTTGTAGAGGCTCTACAGCCAAACCGCCGGGAAGGCAGTGACTCAAAGAGGTCGAGCCGCGCTAATGGGGTGTCTCCGAGCTTACTGGAGCTCTGATGGACAGCCCTGACTATCCCTGACACACAGAGAGTCACTCCGACGGCACACAACACCCTATAACTGCGTCATGACCAGCCTGCCATGTGTCGCCGGTGCCGCATTCGTCGCTGTGCTTCTTTAGCAGGCGGTGGACTGTCGGCTGCGAGGACGGTCGCATTTGCGCGAGGCGAGGCGAGCATTCAGACGCGTTGCATGCGCCATGACTCGCGCCAGCGCGTGCGGGAGCTCCTGGCTGAGCGTTGAGTCCAGGCGAGTTGCGCTGGCCACTTATCGCTACGCCGAGCCGAGCTGACGCGCGGAGGAGCCGGCCAGTCGCAGCCGTGAGGCATGCCATAGCAGCAGAGGCACCTCCTACCCATTGGGCGGGCAGACAGAAGGCCAGGGCAGCACTGGCAAGTGCAACGCGCCTCATGTCGGAGAGCGACCGTGCCTCGTTCGCCGCTTATGATGTAGAGTTTGTTGTAGAGATTTCACGTTGTAGAGCGCCTCTACATCGCTCTACAACGGAGGCGCTTCGTCCCGCGGCGGATGTAGAGCTCTACAGCTCTACAGCGCTCTACATCTCTACAGCTCTACAGCGCTCTACACTCTACATCCTCTACACCCTCCCTCAGGTCCTCTCCGTGGCCTAGGCAGGCGTGCTCGCCCTTGCCCCAGGTAAAGACAGCGCCGTCGGCGGTGAGGGCGAGGCTGTACTGGCCTCCAGCCGACACGGCGATGACGCGCTGCCCAGCCAAGGCCTCGATCTTCTTCGGCAGCGGCTGGCGCTGCTGGTCGCCATGGCCCAGCTTGCCAAAGCTTCCCAAGCCCCAGCTCCAGACGGCGCCGTCGGCGGTGAGGGCGAGGTTGTGCGTGCCAGCCGCGACAGCGACAATGCGCGTGCCAGCCAAGGCCTCGATTATCTTCGGCAGCAGCTGGCCGCTGCTCGTCGCCGTGGCCGAGATTGCTCATACCTCCATCGCCCCAGCTCCAGACGCTGCCGTCGGCGGTGAGTGCGAGGCTGTGTTTCTCTCCAGCCGCGACAGCGACGACGCGCAGGCCAGCAAAGGCGTCGATCTTCTTCGGCAGCAGCTGGTTCTGCTCGTCGCCGTGGCCCAACTTGCCGTCTCCATCGCCCCAGCTCCAGACAGCGCCGTCGGCGGTGAGGGCGATGCTGTGGTCGCATCCCGCCATCACAGCGAGGACACGCTGGCCATCAAAAGCCTCGACCTTCTTGGGCAGCAGCTGCAGCTGCTGATCGCCGTGGCCCAGCCGGCCAAAGGCTCCACGTCCCCAGCTCCAGA